GTACCTGCTTTTACTGTACCGTCAAAACAATTTTGTCAGAAATTATCATGTAAATGGATAAGTAATTACCATTGCAATAAACATAATTGCCAACTTAACATAAACCTGACAGCTCTGTCCTCTTGTTCAACCTTATTACTGTACAACCCATGTTGTACTGCTCCCCCATTAGACTGATGTTTTTCAATTCCACTGTAATATATGTAAATATAAAAAAAAAATTACATAAATAAACTAAAAACCAAATAAATAAATAAATAAATAAATAAAATTAATAAATATTGAAGTGATAACCGTGGTAACATTATGAGATGTTCTTATTGCCACCAAGCTATTGTACTATTCCAGATGATACTAAATGTTACATAATACTTCCTCGAGATAAATGTATAGTATATATCAGGTGCCTAAAAGAGAGCTCAGGTTCTCAACTGGCTCAGCCATGTTAATATTGTTATTATTATTCACTCGGTATCTGTGTTTTTCTGACTAAATAAACTGTTTCAATTCGTGCACTATACTCGCATAAACACCAAAGTATACAATAAACTTCACTCTGCAGTATAGCTGATCATTTACCAAATATTTTGTACAATTGATAAAGTAAACAATGATACTTATTCTTAAACTCCGACACTTTCTAAATAACACGTCAAATTATCAAACGCGACCGACTTGCCCGGATATCCGCACGCCCCGTAAACGGCCGTCCCCTTAACCCCCGCTTCGCGTGACCTTTTCGTCCGACAATTACGGTAGGAGCGACTCCCGCGGTGCTTTTGAGTTTGGCACACACTACAAAACTATGAAACGGGATATCGAAAGCCGTATGAACAATTTGCCGCCTATAGTACTTTACGGTTTATCGCCGCTCCGATCGATATTTCCACTTTTGCAAAACATTTTAACCCGCACAAATGACGTGAATGCCAAAGTTCCCAATCGAATATAATTGAAAATGCTACAATCTATTTCCAACATGTCTACAATTCTAATCTTGCCAGCAAAATGTTGCAAACGCCTAGTGATCGCAGACATCGTCTTGGATAAATTCACTGTCAATATGTATCAACTTCCAAATCATCCTCCATCTTCACTTCGTCAGTATGGAAAAACAATAGTGCTAAAATTATATTTACAATTACTCTACACTAAAACTAACACAAACAAAACATGGATAAATTTTAGACCTAAACAAATTAACATCATCATTACAACATTCTAACTCTAGACAGATGACATGTGCATCACAAACCAGTCACAATACAATAATGATAGAGATCTTCTACAACCTCTCCAACATATGTTAACAACTATCTATCTTCGTCCTGTGTGGAGGAGGCCTCTGTCCCGTGGAGGAGTATCTTCGCCCAAGCAAGTGGAGGAGTATCTTCGCTCCAGTGTTGAGTCGCATTCTTCGCCTCTGCCTTGAGTAGTATTCGTCTCCGCCTTGAGTAGTATCTTTCGTCTCCGCCTTTGGAGAAGTATCTTCGCCCAGTGTTGAGTAGTATCTTCGCCCTGCCTAAAAAGTATCTTCGCCCAGTGTTGAGAAGTATATTCATCCCGCCATGAGGAGCATTCGCCCCGTGTTGACGAGTATCTTCGTCCAAAGGAAGTCAAAGGCCATAAACACCAGCTGTAGAATGTCTCCATTGATGTCTCTGGACCCATAACTGAAACAACAAACAAATTACTGTAAAAATATATACAAATTATAGAAAATCCTTGGAAACCAACTCAGCTATCTATCTTCATTCCTTTCTATACCTGCACACACACCTTTCACCACACAGGAACACATCCATAAACCTTGCCATCCAAAAACACACAAGCATAACCACTACAATCAACAAACTATCACACAATAAAATGTCACACAAATTACTTCTGCTGCACACAGGTACCGATGTGACAGCATACAGTATCTGGCGAATACCCAATCGACTGTATCGCCTATAAAATGACCTTATAGCAAATCAAACTAAACTAGAAGAAAAAATGATCCTCCACCTGTGTGTATGATGTGGCTAACCGATGCAGAACTTCCTTGCCACCTAAAAAAATACTAAACAATTCTGCAAACACTTACAGACTTTTATTAATAATAAACCACACCAAAATAATGTAAACAAAACCCACAATGACATTAAACTCTACAATGATGAAGACAAAGAAGCAACTAAACAAAAAGAATGGAAGATGCCTTCAGATTGGAGGACGAGGAAAAGATGATTTGACAGGAGGGTCACTACACTTCGTGATGCCGAAATAGCAGAACGAACGCACGACAACTTCATCACGCTACTTTTAACTCCAGACAACCAATAACCTGAACGAGCCACTGTGTCCAATGTGCCAGATAAAACACGCCTGCATTTACCAACAATATAAAAACTTGATAGGTACACTCCACTTCACTTACCAAACAACTGCATCAAAACCAAAATATTCAACCAAGTGCTCGGCAAGATATTCCGGACGTTCGGGCCGATAAATGCAAAAAATACGACCTACACACTAAACATTATGTCATACATTACAAAACAGCTTCACGAAGGGTACAGCTACTCGAGACGGGCCTTGGCTATTATCGCCAATGACATCAAGGAAAACAAACCCTCCTCCCAATAAAAATGTAAACCTGGGTCCTATGGGATGCTACAACAACCACTAAATAGCTCCATGTATAAAATCCTAATTAAATTTTCCATCCCCATTATAGACTGGTCACCTTTCCACAACCATTTTTTATACAAATTGATCATATTTAAACTGAATATGACTGTTACCAAGGTGTATATATAACATTTAACTATAGAATAAACAAATTAAAAACAAATACCAGCCAAAACCCCATTTTAGCCTCACTTTTAACTGATTATTTGTATGCAGAATGTATGTACAGGCTTACAATTAGTCTTAAAATATCAGTACTGTACATAAGGATAAATGATTCATTTATTATTCGCTGCCAATAACCTCGGCACACATACTAAATATTTCATTTACCAACATTTTTCGTCTTATTTCCAAACTAATATAAAACATGAACCCAGTGATTAGTTTAAAGCAAGCTCTGTATTTTCTGACATAAAAACAATAAGCGTACCGATGACGTGCAAGAGCCGGGAGACCGAGGGGCATTATGTCGAGAATGCGCCGAGTGTGACAACAGAGCTGCTTCGTGTGAACAACGGGAAACTGATAAACCTTTGGGAAATATAATAAACACTAAATATGCTGGATTAACTGTATCAAACTGCAACTATTATTGCCACTTTACTGACAACAGGTAAAATACTGAAAAGAGACTGCAGGCCTCTCAAAATAACCACTCTACACATAAATCTCATACATCATATCAAAGATGAGCTTTAGTGTTTCTTCGAGTCAAATGAAGCCGTTTGTTCTCCCCGGATAATTGTCGCCGCCAAATACTCGCCTCGGTGATAACTTTGAAAATAACTAGCCAAATTATTAAAATTATAAACAATGATAACTAAATTGGAGTTCATTTGGCAGTTGTTGTTCATCTTATAGCAACTGAAGCCAAATAAATATCACTTACCATGTTTAATGATATTCACAAGATCCTATAAAAAACCCACCTAACACACCAATCTCCCAATAGCTTTGCAACAAATTAAGATGCGCTGCCAATGTGCGCCTCCCGGCCGCCGTCGACTACCCGTTACGGGGTTACCGAACTCATTTTTTGCTGCGTCATAAAACGAGAGTGTATTATTTCGTGACTGCGCTATGTGTAAAGTGCCATTTGTAACTACAATACAGTAATCAATGGGACAGCTGCTGGCACCGTACACCTATGCCCCCGTTCCACGTCGGTGCTACCCGCAACAAAAGCCCCTCTGCCGTAACTAAATACCGTCGACTCGTCTCATTCCGTCGTGCCCGAATCGACAGACGGGGACGACGGCACGGCGTAGCGTGCGATGCAGTCGACGGCCGTTCTGACCGTGGAGATTCCTAATGGTCCAAATCAAAGAACCGCACGTTACAATGTGCAGAGAGCAAACATCACTGACAACTGCCCTTTCTTATCCCCAAAACAGCTCGCCTACATTTCCACAATGACCGCCGACAAATATGTACAATTATGGCAAACGACTGCAAGATGCCCCGGAGCTCGGTTCTCGCTCGCAGAGATGTGTTATGTCCGAAAGACCTCGTCGACGACAAACTGGCGGGAATGGCCGTGCAACGCCGACCGTTGCATCCGGAGTCTGTAGGGCAGTAGCTAGTTTACACCAATGACCCACGCAACACAATATGATCATAAACAGCCCCACAACAGGGAGAATCTTCACTCCTTTATAACACAAAATTGACCTATAGTCAAGATACTCTAACACCTACTTGCAATGCAGTAGAAAAAATATGAGATAAATATATAGACTTTATCCTCCATTACAAACTACTACATTCTTTAACTCCCATTTTTAATACTACTTTTCATATTGTATCCAACCCTTGTACAGTATACCAGATATATCACACTTTCACTTTTATATCTCCATGTTAAGTCAAGTACTCTCAATATAACACTTGTAATATCAATCCCTCTTCAGTCTCCACATTTTCACCTCCATTTCAACGAGCAACACCACCAAAATCTTATTATGAGTAGCCTTTTAATTTCTCCCTCGTTATCTTTACGTTCTACGCATTTACTCGTCAATTCCTGTCTTATTCCCTCTTTGTAACCAATCGACACTTCCTTTAATATTTCATCAATATCGACATTAATGGCTACGGTAAACGACACGAGTCCGCCACCCGCTCGGAAACGATTTACAGCTTAATAATCTCCAATCTCCCTTTAAAACTTTCAACTTCCTCTACAAACTTCATACAAAGACACTAAGGCACACCCCATAGACATTCCTAATCTTCAAAGAACCATTACGTATATACCGTACACCGACAAAAACTCACAAACATATTACAATACAGAGTTATCAAAGATTCTTAAACATACCTCCCATAGTTCAAGTGATGTCCTTAACCGGGGTCTATCGTGTCACTGGTCCACACAAAAATGATGTTTCTAACTTGTATATGGTGACTCTGACCCATAACTGGAAGGAACAAATTGTTGTTAAAAATTATACAAAGTCAGTTAGGCATGTAGATGATCCCTTGGGAACTAACTAAAATATCTGTGTACTTTCTATGTACAGTATACATTTGCCACACACACACTTTCCATTGGAAAATCATTAATACTTAAAACAATATATATAACAATAATTATTTATTTTGATTTATTTGGCACTTTCTATATGTACAAGTGTAAAACAAAATTAACAAAAACTACATACAGGTTCAAGCTCCCTCCCACATCTGAGCAGAATATTTGAAATTACTCTACCGTTATCTATATAATAGTATTTCCTGTGTATTTTTAACGGGTTACCGATACGAAGCATGCCCTCGACGTGGGAGAGGGGTCGAGTGGCCCTTATGAACAGACGTCAAATACCTAATAATAATCTATTGAGGAACATCATTATGTCAAGCTCCAACACACCCTAAAACAGGACAACTAGTGATCAATTCCAACAAGAGATTTCCTCAAATGGTCTTTCAGACTATACCCTCAAAGACAACTGCAAGTAGCCTTAAACCAAATCCCACATCCGAATCTACGTGCTAACTACTGACCACTATATAATACTAATGCAAACACTGTGGACTGTATGACAAGTCTACCCTACAATGAGTCCCCAAATCTGCTGTACCAAGCATTCAGTTGCCTAAAACAGTTAGCAGGAACACATCCACCCACGCCAAAGACGTGACTGGAACTAAGTAGTTTTGTTACTCCAAAATGTACAGCAGAGGAACCACATACTAAGTCAGTGGGCACGGAATCTTAGCTCTCGGCCTAAGTGTCCCTTTAATCGTGGTCTGTAGTTGAACCGGGATATGCCATTTCTTAATCTCTGCAACGTAAACCCCGTCGCGCGTCGGTCCGGAAAACCTCAGGGAAATCGACTCGTAGCCGGGAGCCTCTCGGGCGGCTTTGTGACGGTCTACCCATTAATCGATGTCACCTTCCCCAATACTTCCTACCGATGCCCACTTGGTCCCAAACCATCCAAAAAAGGACCTAACTTTAGTAATTGGAAAGGTATATGCCCAAGAGTAGTATATTCTGTATGTCAGCACATTTATTCTCGTGCCAAATACATTCGCCGTGCGCATTTCAATAAGCTTTGCATTGAGCGACTATGGTGTAATTAGCAAATTATTTGTTCGTGTACTTGAGATATATGAAACTTATAAACCCTTATAACAGCCTTGACAGTCATACTTTATAATTATAGTCAGATATTTTTATAGGAAACTCCAATAAACTTATCTAATATTTATACCATTAACATCAACACTAATAACTGGTCACTTTAACTAAGTGTGTGTAGTGTAATTGTAATCACAGAAAATGTTACAATATTAGTAAGGTGACCATCATATACTATAAAAGCTCGTAAATAAACTAATAAAACACAAGTGGAAGGAACAAGAGGTGGTAGGTGGTGGGAGGGAGGGAGAGGTGGTAGGTGGTGGGAGGGAGGGAGAGGTAGTAGGTGGTGGGAGGGAGGGAGAAGTGGTATGTGGAGAGAGGGGGAGGTGGTAGGTGGACGGAGGGAGGAAGAGGTAGTAGGTGCTAGTTAGGTGGAGTGATGGAGAGGTAATTGGGGGTAGGAGGGAGAGCAAGGTGTCTACTAGCCACAAAATTCCCTGATTTTTCCAGGTACATTAATTATGTATGTATAACAACAAAATTATAACTTTTCACTAATATGTATATACTATTGGGACATTTCTTATTTAACCAGCTAGTATCAGGATGATTATTAGGCCTAGTGATGAACGTCGACAAAGACCTTGACCCGTCCCTCAAAATTTTTCTCCTCAGACTTACGCAATTCATGCGGGTCGACCCGTACGTTCCAAAAAAAGCCGGAAATCCGACAAAATCACACTCGTGATAAATATGTGGAATAATCCAATTAAATAAAATACATTATTTATAAGAACAATAATTGCAGAATTAGTAGATATATCCTGTAATATCTGGTTATTTGATCACTAACATGAAATATGATACTGTTGGTACACAAACAATTCAGTCATTGGAGTCGACTATTTACTGGAATTTGGCCTTAAAACTTGAATTATTTACCTATTATATACATCATTAATTTATAGAAAGATTGCTGTCAAAATATTTTTTTGAAGTTGAACTCGATTCGTATAAAATTATACGTTTATTTGTCAATTTCCCCGGCTTTTCCGGACCGGTCGACACCCTGGAGAGGCAGTAGGTGAACATTACTAATAGTAAAATTATTTCAAGTACAGTACTTGATATGTGTCGAGTGTTACCTACCCTTAGAAACAGACAAGGAGGCCCAACTCTGCTGAAGTGACAACTGCCTAGGCCTCGGTTTCGTGACTAGCGAGTGTCGTCCGGGGTGTTGGGGAGTCTCCCTCGCCCGCGATCGTCTGTAAACGCAATCGTCCGTTACCGTACTGTACTTAAAATACTTAAGAAATATCCACTAGAGTAATACAAAGATACTGTACAAGGTCTGGATTACTTTTCATATGAACCACCACAACTACCATGTCCTTTACAAAGCAATACAAGACAAAAATAATACTTATAAATACAGCAGAGTATAGTCATCAAAGTATCTGTTAATCTTTATGATAGTGTACTGAGACCTTCCATCTTCTCAAGTGCTCGAGAACATAATCATCACCACCATTGTTTTGTGAGTCAACCATCAGGCAAGTTTTATGATTCTTACTTAATGAAGTACTGTACGGTACAAATACACGTATAATGTGACCTCCAGTTAAATTAAATATTGACTGAGCTTTAATGATCCATAAAATAGCATCCATAAAAAAAAAGTATCTAGGTGTAGGTTACTCTCAACAATTATCTTAATCAGAAAGCAGTATTTAGTGAGTACCGACCCGTCTCTGTAGAGAACGCACGGAACGTGTCGTGCCGGAAGCCACCGCGGGCGGTGATAGAGTCTACGGTTGTTCCACGGCAGTTGCTCCTCGTGTCGACCTTCCGACTTTAGTCATCTCCCGGGTCGCGCTCCTGCTGCCGTTGTCCGAGGCAGCTTGTTCTGTGGGTTCAGTTTGTAATGTGAATGCTGCCTTCATCTAATAATTATACTGCACTGCATCTTTACAACCATTGTATAGGGTATTAACAATCAATCATATGCCCTTATGCAATATCATGTTGATCAAATTTTATTTGTATGGTGTACTGGTAAGCAGAGTGTTGAGTAGCCAAAGGTGTGTCTAGATGCACGTGTGTCCTGGGCCAGTAGTGAGAGGATACCACACATGGTGGAACTACTGTACAATCATTAATAGTCTATTGAAACAAAATGGAATATACTGCACATGAGACTTTAAGTAAACAAGTACTTCTTATGTATCTATACACAACGATGAACTGTACAAATACGGAATAATGGCCGAATCTTACGTGGTACGAGATCCACGGATGGAGACGAGAGTGTGGTCGGTGACGGGCCACCTTCGGCATACCTGCGAGACTCTACGTTGACAAACAAATATGATAAAAATCAGCACGACTATTTATTAAATGTAGAAAGAGTAAACCAACATTAACAACCTAACAGCATTATTGGATATTATAATTCACCTTTCTTCATTGTCAACAGTGTATTAACATAAAATTGTTATCAGTCCAATGTAGGTAACAGTTGCTACTGCATATACCTACATTCTTTTCCAGCTTTTATAAGTGTAAATACCATCAAGAAAGTGTAAATACAAACACATTACATTCTGAAAATTATAAAACAAGTGATGCGTACCTGAGTGATTGGTGTTCCAGGGGTTGATTATTTGTGATGGTAATGAGTCTAATGACAGAAGGGTGAGGCAGCTGGGGGAAGTTGTTCGCGAACTTCATCGCCATACACTCGTCCTCGCCAGAGAATATCGACGGTGACTGCAAAAACGGATTCGGATAAAACGAGAAGCAAAATATATCGCATGGGATGTGACAAAGAATTGCATAGAATAACAATAAATAACACCATCTTTTCATACACATTACTGTACTGAATAACATCTGAAGCCAAGCATATCAGTAACATAAAGGAGAAACACACCAAACTGACTCGGTTTACTGATACAGAAAAAACAATTCTTTATATAAAAATGTTTTGTACAATACCAAGTTGGAGAGGTACTGTGCAGAAAATACTCGCCTAATGTATAGCCGAAGAGCAAGGTGGGCGAGACTCCACCAGTAACTGAGACCGAGTCTGCCCGAAGTTTTGAATTTGCATTTCAAAGGCCTGTTAGAGGAGAGCAACAAGGTCAGCAACAGTGCCATGGAGGGGAATGGAAAATGTAAACTTATTTTTTCTTCTCGATCACAGTAATTATTACCTATACTTTACACAAAACACAGAAAATCGGTCCTATTGTATGTACCCATGTGTGTACTGTATTAGCCAGAATAATTGGTGCAGAGCACTTCTGGGGACGAGATATTTCTGGGTGGGGGATTAGTGGTCTCATATTACTGACTTTCTGATACAATGTCAGGTTACCCATTGTTGGGTAGAGGATAACTGGGTCTCGACCTGAATATGTCTTCAATAAAGACGAAAGCTAAGGTAATTTTGATGAATGACACTTCTAGCAAGAAAGTGCATAAACATTTATTCAGAACATCTGCTCTGATTGTGTTAGAGAAATTAATTTTGTATCATTGCATTATGGAGATGCATTCCTGATGACTGTTTTTTACCTTAAAAATATACTGAGTACAGGTATACTATTTTATATGAAAGATAAAGGTATTAAGAAGCACATAATTTTTCTTTTTATACATCATTTTCACCACTTATCGGCTTACTAGCCGTTTGGGCGCTCTATCCGGTGTTAGTACGGGAGGAAACCGAGGACCGGGAAAGCCGTGATGTTTGGTAGTGAGGGTCACACTGGATAACACCCTTCTCGTGGGTCCGGCCCAAAGCTCGAGCCTTTGACGTGTCGGTGAGCGTTACGCGCATTACCGCTACTGCCGTATCTTTATTAATTAATGTATAACAAATAAACATACTGTAACATGAATGACAAAATGAGTGAGGCAGGCGTCTGTGACAAGCACTGGGTGAGAGCAACACTTTGCAGGGGGGATGGTGTCTGTGCGGTCACTTTTACCTCCAATGGTCGTTTCCCCCTTTCCCTTCCTCCTCACCTCACAGCATGTTCTAAACTTTTAATTAGGTTACAGTTGAATTTCATAACAAAATTATTCCGAATAAATTCTCTTTCAAACATTTCCAATAAGATATCCTTCAACAAAATATTTCTACATGAGCATTTATATAAAAAACTTGAGAAATGTTGACACCAGAGTCAATAAAATCAGTTCTAATTAAGTTACACTTTTTTTACCCAAATAATCCAGAATAGTTTCTCAAAAAGTTTGGTTAAATAAATATATTAAAAAAAACAAAAACTCTATATGAATGGAGTTGTGTGTTACCCTTCAGAGGAAAATTTCTCAGAGTTTAAACAGAGCATCTCACACGAGCTGTATCTATTTACACAAACACCACTGTACACCTACAATATTGTTAATGCTGTAAACCAAATAATGTACAGTATACTATTACTAAACTGTATATACTGTACTCACCAGCAGATACTGTTGTCTTGAACCTAAATAGGCAGACACTGTTCACTCAACTCAATGTAATACATAACTGTAATGACATCTTACACTTTAGATGGAGGTTGGGTGGGTGATTAGTGGGTCATGTTACTGACCTGAGCTCATGCAATATCAGGTCACCCATTGTTGGGGTGGGGGATTAGTAGGTCTCATGACCTGAAGATGTCTTGAATAAAGGCAAAAGCTAAGGTGCTCCAGTGTTTCCTTCTTACTGAATGTGCAGTACAGTGTGTATACGTAACTGTAATAACTTTTTACATTTTTTACACCGCTTGAACACAGTATTCTTTGCTGATTTTGTTCTGATACAGCACTGCATAACACAAATTGTATGTAAAAACACCAGCTAGTGAGGGAACAACCTTCTAGAATGGCAGCAGAATGTGAACCAAGGGATCCAAGTAGCTGGGCCAACCACACTCCTGGCACGTGGGGATGGCTCGGAACGAGATGCAATTTCTCGGAATGCCCCGATAATTTATTCCCGGGACCGGGACGGAGTGATTTGAGGAGTTTCCGCAATTTTTCTCTATATTTTCCAGAAAATGCACCCGAATTTCAAACTCGGAAAATCGTTCACAAGCCCGGAATCGAGATAAATTTTCTGAAATAATTCCTTGTATAGAGATAACTGCCATTCAGCAATAACTTCCATGTACTGTGACTCTTTTGCTAACTTTTGACTGGCTATAAACAGATCATAAAAATACATTTAATCAATAACATAATTCAAAACCTAACCTAACCTGACCTACTTTAGGTACAATTTCCCTTTAAGAAGATGAACAAACTCTTAAATGAACCAGAGCAAATTCTGTCATACAAGAAGTAGTTCCCATCTAGTTAGGGCACCAAAATTGAAAAGTTATTCCTAACAAAATTGGTTTTTGCCTTTTTAAATGAACCAGAGCAAATTCTGTCATACAAGAAGTAGTTCCCATCTAGTTAGGGCACCAAAATTGAAAAGTTATTCCTAACAAAATTGGTTTTTGCCTTTTAAAGCTTAATCAGCAATTATCCTCAACTAGTATAAAACACACAATTACCCTATTTTATGGCATATAAGAGGCACCTTTTTTTCTGAAAAATAGTTAGATATTCATCCTACAACCTATATGTGAAGTTGCAGTCTCCAGTAGGCAAAATTCTACCTGGGCCAACTTCAGAATTAATAATACGTTACTGCTCACAAGATTTTTTTTTATTTCTTCAATTAATTGTAGCAAATTAATTACTGTAAACATAAAAGCTACATTAAACTATGTACTACTGACGACGCATGCCAACCCGAGATCAGTGATGTCCGGGTGTAAGTGGCCAGACGCCTCCTCGACTTCCCAGATACTTAATAAACCCGTGACACTAAAATGACGACCATAAAGGGTGTGAGCCGGGACAGTTGGGTATATATAGCCTCTACTGTGGGCTGGTACATCCTTACCAGGATTAAACTTTGACCGCCATCAACCCTAGAACGTGGACTCGTTGTCGGGTAGAGGAGCTCCTATATTAAGCTTTATAATCAAGTAAAATGTCGCTCCCCCAAAAATATCAGTAGCCAAAGGGTCGATGTGATTCGCTTCTGAGCAATGCTACACAAACTGTTTTTGAAATGTTGGTGAAGCACATCTACGGACCTTGAACACGAATGAGATAGATGTTTTTCCATGACGTGAATCTCCGGGACATGCTCTCGATCGAGTATTACGAATTAAGAGTACGTGGTTAAATGGACACCGACGCGCCGTGCCAGTCGTATCGGTTGTGATCTATATCAATGGAGCGAGGAATTATCAGGAAGGTTATAAGATGAGAGGTGCTATGGCCTCACGACGAGGGTATAAGTAACGTGAGATAGCTCGCCGATTCGAGCTTGTTTAAATCTTACCACAGTATCACGGGTTAGGCTCCAGGAAACAACTGTATTATTAACTCCTTTCAAATCTTATTTTTGGTGTTAAAAACCAATACCATTTGGTTATTAGTTAGTAATATTTGGTAGATCCCATTTAGACCAATATATGGCGGCGAAAATTGTCTATTGCTGCAACTGTTCAATTTAATATTGAGTAATTATTTGTTTAGTCACTCTTCATAAATCAGACGACGTCAACAAATACCTAGTAAGTATATTGTTAACCGGTATGACTGAAACCTGTTACTCCCACATAGTGGTGAAATGTCCACTTTGAGGTCTTGTCTCAGTTATGATATTCGAAACTCTTCCATCTATGTATATTTCGGTGTTATTGTAATCGACAGTCAGTGTAGCCTGTTTACATATGCCTTGGGTTTCTAACTTTCAGCACGATAAATATACTGTACAGTATTAGTATAGCTTAATGGATTTCTTTGTTATAATGAAGTATCTAGTACATACAAGGACGACCTTCCCCAATCTCTAGTTGTTGCTGATATGGTGAGCAGTAAAACAATCCTTATGCTGATGCACTGAAGTCTATAAAAAAGTATTTCATCTACTATTTCAAATTTTACTAATAGAAAATCTATCAATGCTTTTGGGGACTGAACATAATTTGGGAAGGTTTTTTATTGTAGAAAAGTATTTTTGCTTTATAATGTGAGTCTATAGGAAAAATTCTGTCTGATTTCTTACAATAAATTTTTGCTAATACCTCTAAAACTGGGAATGTCTGTAGAACCTTCCTAATATCTTCACAAAGTACCAGAACAAGTTAAATAAAATACCATACAGTACTTTTTAGGTCCAATTCTAACTTCAGGTCCAGTTCACTTTGGTTGTCCACTTAACTTCAGGTACAAAGTTAACTTTGGTGTCCAGCCAACTTCTATCGAAGTTCACATCAGGGTCCAAAGGTTCAGGTCCATTTTTGCGGGTGACGAGAAAGTAATTGAAAATATTATTTGACGATAAAGTACTGTACCAATTGTTACTGTGTAAAATTCAAACTTGGTACTATGCAGTCTTCTTCACAACTATGCAAATAAAAGTCAATTAACTGGAAGTGAAACATAACATACAAGTAGATAAAAGAGAAAAGTAGCACAGTAATTGATAAACAATGAAATGCTTGGAAAACGAAGCTAAATATTATTAATATATCAGGCATTGCATTTTAGAAAAACACAAAAATAAAAGTCACATTCAAAATTTTTGCAGGGATGGAAAAACGGAATCTGGGGCTAAGAGTTTGAGATGTCACGCACTCACCGACACAATGGGACATGACTTAGGACACACAAACATTTACATAAATGTGGACACACATTTATGTACTACACTCAGCTTGTACACCTAATGACAACAACATGATGTCATGCAGCAGAAAGTGAGTCTTTACCTCCTCACACATCAGTGTGTTTCGGCCAAGGATCGCTAACGTCATATACGAAATTAGACTTGCCCAGGCAAAGTTAAGTCTAAACTAGTTACACAGATATGTGTTGGCTGGTCTCTTACACTTGGAAACACACAGTAAACCATTGTATTATATTATAGAAGTTATTACATCAGTATTCACAGAATAACCACTGATATTGACCGGATCTAAAATCAAACCAGCAGTAAATACTTTTGGCCACAGAAAATTTCAATTAATTAATACTGTAGGTAATGACTAAGCGAGGTCCACAACCATCCTGACTCACAATCCCCCATTAAAATTCCAGATATTACCTCAAGAGGTCCTCGGGCCAAATAGCTTATGGTTATTTGGCCTGGAATCAAGCTTTCAAATTATCAGATATGCGGAGAAATTAATTAACGAATAGGTTTTCGGTATTATTATCATTTTATTAATACAGCGAATTTAGGTTAGGGTTAAGAAGTTGACATTATTCGACCTTCGGAAAATAAGTGCTTCATCAAACGATAATTTTAATTTTATATTTTG